CTCGGGGAGCACACAGGCGAACGCGTGTTCTAATGCCAGCGGCAGGGAGGCAGATGATCGAGTAATCATCACGCCCAAGTCCAACAGGGGTGATGAAAGTTCAAGGGGTCACGACCCGCATGCCTAACATCTAGCAATTAGCGCACAGGCGGGCAGCTATCCCCGATAGAGGGAAGCGGTTAATTTCATAGGTGTGCAGTAGCATAGCGACTGTATTCTATAAACACTGCAACTCCCTGTTGTCAGTTTCTGCTCCTGTTTCTAGCGGTTGATCCGAGACGCAATCCGAAACGTCAGGTGAATAAGCTACTTTTCTCAGCGAATCGATTTGCTTCTTCTCAGTTACTCTTTGGGCTTGCATTTTCGCTTCTATTGGCAAACTTAATGTTCGTCAAACTCAGAAACATATCCGGATGGGTATGTCCATTAACTCGCTATTTGGCGAAAAGACGGCCTGTCTCCCGTGACTCCTCACTTATCTTCTCCAGCCAAAAATTGTGCTTTCAGCTCTGTTGCGGTCCTAGAACACTGATGCTTCATGCTAACTGCGGAAACCGTGGCACCCAAACAACGACTCGGTCACTAAACATACCGACCTGTCATCGGCTTACAGGTCTCAATCCGTGGCATCGCTGAAGGTCACTTCCAGTAGAGGTGTTAGAATTCAAACAGAGCTGTGCGACTTATTTTACCTTCGAGTTTGAACTCCGAGGTGATCTCCGAACGTCAGAAATAGCCTTCCACGCTTATACATGCTTGAATGTCGCTCACCGGTCAGGTTACATGGCACGATCGAGCCATTTCGTTTCGGGTCCTCAATCTAGGGCAGAGGTCGGGAAGCTTCGTATGATAGTCGTGCTCAATGCACGTGCGTTCGCTTGCCCGTTGGCCGGTTGTTGGTTGTGTCTTCTCCGTTATCGACAAATGGCGGGCTCACATTTTCTGTATCCCTTCGCGGCTGTCGTTATAGAACTTGAATTGGACACCGGAGGTTTGCGTACAAAGACACACACGAGTGAACCAGCTTACAAATCCTAGTTGGTTGATCATAATACATCGCCCGTCGTTACCGTTTTCATCGGGTTGTTAATGGAGAATAAGGCTTTGTTTATAAGTATATGTGTGGGGGGATTGAACAATTTTTATGTTTCTGCCGGGCACAAAATAATAGAATGCATTATCAGGTAGTATAGCACTCTCTATCCTGCATCTTAACTGCCTTCTCAAAGACCTTAGGTTTAGACGTAAAAGGGACTTACTTCCGTGAACAAATCATTTTTGTTCACGGCGAAACTACTACTACTATTACGACAACACTTCGAAGTGTATAGTTTGCGTCCATATACCAAAATAGTCGGCTCTATCGGCTCTTTCCCTCCTTTCATCTAAATAGCTAATGGATCTGAAGGTTTTTGTGGACACGGACTCAGATGAACGTCTCTCCCGACGTATTCTGCGCGACACGGACTTGCGTGGTCGCACCGTTCCTGACATCCTTCTGCAGTACAACTCCAGTGTTAAGCCCGCTTACGATCAGTACATCGCACCTACGATGTCCATTGCAGACATCATCATTCCCAGGGGTAAGTCTCCCTTCTGGATCCTTATTTTCTGTCCGGAGATGAACACCCTGTGGGATATCCAATTAACATGGAGACATTCTGTAAGAGAACGGATTAAGTAGAGAAAACGAATCACAATCCAAGTTTATGCATAACCTTTTTAGG